AAACAGGCCACCGAAAATGCAAAAGAGGAGGTGAGGCGGATCCTGGGGCTGCTGGACACTCATCTGAAGACAAGGACTTTCTTGGTGGGTGAGCGAGTGACGCTGGCTGATATCACAGTCGTCTGCACCCTTCTGTGGCTCTACAAACAGGTAAGGTTTGTAAAGAAGCCATTTGATAGGTACCCTGGGTTCTGCTTAGGACTCAGACCTGTTAATGGCTGTAGGAATCCCAGGATTGAGTACTGTGGCTGTTTCATTTTAGGTGATGTTGCTTAGTTTCTTGGGGATCTGGGTTTAATTTAAAAATGGGTAAGTCTGGGTGCGGTGACTTACACTTCTAATCTCACTGCTTGAGGTACTGAGGCAGGAAGATCACTCTGGTATGAGGCCAACCTGGGCTATATAGTGACATCAAAAATAAAAAGCAAAAATTAAAGATGAGTAAGAGGCAAGGATGGTTACTGCAGCATCAAGGGCTTTTGGAGGCAGATCCAAGTCCCCATCTTGGCTTCATTATTCACTGGTACAGATAGAGGGGTCTAAGAATTCTCACGGTTCTTTATTTTATTTTACTTTATTTATCTGTGATAAATTCAAGGTGATAGTAATCACTATTTGGGTTACTATGTTTCTTAAAACATTCAGAAAATTTTTTCATTTGTGTATTTGCATGTATGTATGTATGTATGTATGTATGTATGTATGTATGTATGTATGTATTTGTGCAGATCCCAAGGAGTTGTGAGCTACCATGTGGGTGCTGGGAATCAAACCAGGATAATCTAGAACAACCATTTTTTAATTTAATTAATTTATTTTGATTTATTATTTATGTGCATTGGTGCTTTATCTGCATGTATGTCTGTGAGGGTACCAGATCCTCGGGAACTGGAGTTACAGTTGTGAGATGCCATGTGGGTGCTGGCAATCGAACCTGGGTTCCCTGGGAGAGCAGCCCCATACTACTGTCTTAAGAAATTCTTAGTTTTGGGGCTAGAGGGATGGCTCAGCGGTTAAGAGCACTGGCTGCTCTTCCAGAGGACCTGGGTTCAGTTCCCAGCACCCACATGGCAGCTCATAACTGTCTGTAACTCTTATTCCAGGGGATCTGGCACCCTCACATAGATATTCACGTGGGCAAAACACCAATGTACACAAAATACAAGTAAATAAATTATTTTTTTTTTTTTT